CGGAAGCTAAATTGAACTATGAGACTGAATCGTGGAGGCTGAATTGAATTATAAGGCTGAATAGCAGCCACAGGCAGTGGAAACGCAGGTTGGAGGGTTTTTGCAAAAGGGGTATCAAATTCCAAGTTCCTCACAGTAGAGGATTTTGTAGGAGGAGGAAACGGGATTATGGAGTGTAAATTCCAAGTTTCTCATAGTAGATGCATGTCGGATTGGCATCTGAGGGCGGGAGAGGAATGAATGGAAGGAGTGTTAGGGGTTGGGTTATTTTTGATTTCTATCATTTCTGCCCGTATATAATTTAAGTTTAGAAAAAGGTACAAAAATTTTCGCAACGTTCAGAAAACGTTGCAAAAGTAAAACCTTTAGCAACGCTTGATACAAGTTGCTAAAAGTCTTACATTTCGCAACGTTTGATAAACGTTGTTAAAGATGACGTTTAGTAACGTTTGATAAATGTTGTTAAAGGTAAAACGTTTTGCAATACTCAATAAACGTTGTTAAAGGTATGTACCGCAACATTTTTCTCAAAAACATTGCCAAAACTCATTTATTAATACCAATGACAACATTCACTTACTAAAGTGTTGCAAAAAGACCCTTTTGGCAACATTTGTCAACAAATGTTGCATTTTTAATGTTGCAAATGACTATTTTTGTTGTAGTGCAAATATTTCAGAAATCAAAACGATTTACCAGTTTTGCAAACTTTTTGAAAACTAGGGTTTTAATAAATCACAGAACACTAAACCCCTTTTTAAAAAATTGCTCTGATATCACTTGTTGGTCCAAACAAGTTTGTAAAAACATTCAAAAATTACTAAACGTTTGCAAAGAAATAAGTCGTAGAAATTAAAGATTCAATTCAAAGGAATTTTCACCTACTAAGTGCTCCGCATGTTCCCGTGCTCTAAACGTTACTCACCCATTGAGTATCTACAAATAGATATAGCTCGGATCCACTAAAATCAGCCAAAAATAGTGCAATATAATTGTTTGAAGAAATCAGGGATTTCTTCAATCTTTTACTTTCGCTTTACATACAAAGTTCACCACAATCAATCTCACATATATAAACTAAATACATCAAAGAATCCACTCAAGATTTTACAGAGATTGAAGAAGAGGGAGAGAGAAAAAAGAAGAGCCAGAGGACGACCCTAATACAATAACGAGGCTAAGAGAGCCTTTTAAATGCACCGTAAGGTCAGATCTAAACATCAATATAAGACCAAAAGTGTGTTTCCAAGAATGCGTTTTTTAAGTCATATGGCCAAACCCGGATTACAGAAATAGGCCCAAGTCCAAAGGCCCAAGTAAAAATAGTGAGGCAGCCCAATAACTAATAGATAGAACAGTGTAGTGTAAATTTTACAGTGGAGGCACCAACTTTTTACTCGAGGAGAAGTAAATATGTTGGTGATGCTTTTGGGTTACACAGTAAAACCTCTATAAAATAATAATATTGGGACCGAGAAAATTTATTATTTTATAGGTGTTATTAATTTATTGATAAATGAATAATGTATTAATTTATCGAGTAGTTTATATTTTTATAACTAGTATTATCTTTTACTATAATACATGTAGAGTCTGCCACAGGCTTCTGGTTTTCGAAACACCTTTTGTGGAAGATACTTCATTTTTTTTTTCAGAAAAAAATATTGAATGTGGTGATATTCAAAATTTATATAATTTCTATAGTCATTAGTTTTAACTTAAGACCCCCAATCATTCCAAAATTCATACATTTCTACCAAGGCCATCTCATTTAAAAGGAGTTAAAAAATCTACATTGACTAATGAGAAGAAGAGAGAATCGTGTGATTATAAAAATGAACATCCATTTTCTAATAAAAAAGATTTGCAAAAGTGGGTTCAAACAAAATACTTTAGATGCATATTTTAAATAAGAGACAATTGAAAAAAATGTTGTCAAATTAGAAGTTTATTAATTTCTATTAGCATGAATTTTTAGGAATTTAAGCAATTATTATTTTCTATATTCGTTGGGCTTTAAAGGATTCAAAAATAAAAAAATAAAAAAAATTAGTATCATCTGCATTTAGCGGGTTATTAATTTAATCCACTGATCCAAGTCGGGACAAAAGAATTTTATTATTTAAGTGAAATTATTAATTTATGAAATATTCATTTATCGAAATTTTATTGTATTTATGGAGATGATGATGAAACTTTAGATTTTTAAAATTTTGAGTTTGGTAATAAATTTACATAACCTCCTTCAATTTGCTAGTCCAAATGTGATAGGAATCGAATCCGTAATACACTCAGCGTATGGTGATAAAAGAAGTTTGACTAAGGCACATGAAATGTAGTTCCTTAGCTTTTCATTTTATTCCTCTTCCTGTCTCTAGGTGGGATAAGTTCTCTTTTATCTGGAGGGTCATTAAAAACTAAAAAAAGAGGCTTCAGTTTTGGTCTTCTTAGGAATTAGAATGTAGGAACAATGATTAATATACGTTCCTTGTTTGATATGACTTTATACTCTGTTTAACATTCTTTCCTGATTTTGTTTTATGTACCCTGATTTTGAAACTGCACTTTGGAATATTATAAGGCCACTTTAGGTCCACACTATCCAAATTGCAAAAAAGAAGAGAAAAAAAGAAGAGGAGGTTTTTGTCAAATAAAAGTTGTTCTGTTTTCATTAATTTTATGTTATTATACGATTTCTTCGAATTATGATGGCACCATTAAATTTTGTAGTAATTAATGGCATTAGGAACTTTGTAGGATTGGATGGGATCAAAAAGGGGAGAATCTAATGAAATTTGAGACTTCTTCGGTCCAATTTCGTCATGTTAACATTCTAAATTGACGCAGAACGAAAGTAAAAGATTTACCAGCATAAATCTTGAAAATAAGAAAACTGGAATTCCCCAAGCACAAAACTTGTATGCAATCAATAATAATGTTAGAAATGTTCAAAAAGCCTTTAAATAGGCGTTGCAAGAAACACTAAAAACATAGAATAGTAAAACATTCCAAAAATAGCGAAAATTCAAAACGGGAAATAGAAATTAATTATTTGGAGACCTAAACGAAGGAATTTGGCTAAAATCCTGATATCTCGGCCCCGAGTCCAATTTTTCGGGGCCGGTTCCAATCAACCAGCCAAAATTCAGCCCATTCCGACACCGTCACGACAAATGCCAAAATTACCCCTGACGTGGTCGTTTTTTATCAATTTTCTTTTCAACACTTCTTCAAACTCTAAATCTAATTGTCCTACATCATAAATGTATCCAAGTTCATAAAACATTACTTTCATAAAGTGAATAGTATTTACAATACCTGACACTTAGGATAGGAACCAAAGTTGTAACAATAAAATATTAATATTCTTTTCTGTAACTCAATGACTTCACTTTATACCTTTTGGAGCTTCTACAATCCCAAGCATCCAGTGAAGAATATTTTCAAGATTAACAAACCCTACATTTAGCATCTTAAAATTACCAAATGTCCCATTGATGATACTGTAAACACTAGTTCCCCATTAGTTGTTTCATTTTTCTCAAACGAAAAAACATCTTCTTCAAAGAGAAAGTAATACACTTTATCGTTTAAAACTTAAAATATTTGAGAATAACACGTCCCTTCATTCGCTAGACGGATTCAAATTTTTTAAAAAAGATCAAGCACATAATGTTTCTATAATTAAGTCTGCATGTTAAGTCATATTATCTAAATGTTTTGAATGTTAGAGAAAGGAGATGAGTTCCGATCAGCTTTGCTTGGTTTGATAATTGAACGAGTGTTTATGTTTCAATCTAAGCCCTACGTCCTACTAAATTAACAAAAATATGTGGCTAACAGAAATGATGACGTAACATGAAAGTCATCCCGCAAAACATAAACATTTATGTTAGACAAGTGTTAGTTAAAAAATGAGCTTTAATAAAGAAACGAACAAAAAAAAAAAAAAAAAACAGAAAAAGAAAGTTTGTCTAATAAGATGCTTACCAACAAATTATGCCAGTTTAGAAAAGAAAATAGATAAAGTGCCAACTATTATTGAAAGTTCAGCAACTAACTTGGAAAATAGATTAGTTCACCGCAGTTTTTATTTTATACATTATATTTTAATTGCAATAAAGTTTCCTCATCTTTTTCACTGTAGCAGTTATATTCCCAACTTTTTTATTTATTTATTTTTATTTTTTTGCGTCGCATTTTTATTCTCAATCTTCAATCAATTAGAAAATCTTGTCATTGATAATGGATTTCATCCAAAAGTCCATTAGGAAGGTCTATGAAATGTATAACGCATTTGCCCCTCACACTTTTAATTAGAAAAAAAAATACAAAAGATTTATAAGATAATAATGGAACTGTCATCAACAACAAAGCTAATTAATTTGAAGGCTCATGATAATAATGAGACCAGAAAAGTTTAGAATATAAGTGCAATAATAAGTAGAGATTGAAGGACTCTATTGCAATAAAATGTACCACTTTGTTTGGTATTGGCGGGTGTTAAAATGAGACAGCATTATAAGTTGAGTTCACTAACGATGTAACCCAAAATCAAATTTTAATGTTTGCTTCACATTCCTGCAGATATAAATGCACAAGTTAACTTTTTAACAAGTTCATAATCAGTACCTTAGTGCATGCAAGAAATCTTGTAAAAACATAGTTGAGCCCAGCCAAGATAATGGATATATTAAGAAATATGTATAAAGATGAGCCCCAAATGTGTTTCACGACAGAAATTAAGAAATACTCAAAATGTCCCAAAATCTTGATAAAGCTCAATCTTTTACCGTGAAGAAAAAGATTTGGCTGATAGAATTTTTTGTAGAGAAGTATTCGAAAACCCCTACAGGCTGTAGACCACAATGGAAGCAAGGTACTCGATTCGCTTAGCTTTATTAGCTATATAAGGCCTGGAGGGAACCCCAAATGGACACCAAGACAGGCACTTGTTCTTGAAACATATTTGTTTATAATCCCTCTTCGTGTTTGCAGAAATGGGGAGCCGAGATTTTGTGCCTACAGCTAGGACCAACCCACTGATGAGTGACGCGTTGTCAAATCCTAAACCTCCTACAAAAACCCCTGTAACTAAGAGTTATTTGACTGATCGTGAGAGTGCGAAACAGAAACTAAGTCATGATGAACTGGATCATAGTTCAGCCAGGCCCCTTACGGGTGCAGCTCTGCCTCTGTCTTCAGGCAGAGGTCATTTGATGAAGGGTGGTCAACATGATCGCCACATTTCAACTGATGATATTGGATTGAACAAGCAAGTTCTGGGCACGCACGCTCCAGATCATGAAGATCTCGACGTGAAGCCCGTTCTTTCCATCATTGAGGATATCCTGCGACTTGGCAAATCTCTTGAAACCGTGCATGTACAATGCTAATTATCTTCTTTTTGTTCAGTACTACTTAAATCCTCGCTGCCAAAACATGCTTTTCGTGTTTCTACGCTTTCTAGACTTCACCTTTAGCTGCATTTAACTGACACTTTTATATGCTCATAATACAGGGAGATCAAATTCCAGCACATTCAGAATCGTATGCGGAGAAGTCCTTCCAAAGTGCTTACCAAGACATGGAGATAATTAAAATGTTGGCATATCCCATAAACAAAATTACGTCTGAGGTATAGAGAATTTCTGTTTCCCTCGTGCTCAAATCTTGATTATCTTAAAAGCAAATCATGCATTATTAGTCAATAAACTCTGAAATGTTATTCCTAGCATTAGTTTCATGAATGTAACATAAAAAATTTAGGGAATATTGCAGCAAAAGTCCCAAACCTTTGAGTTTTTTGCCGACTTCACCTTAACCTTTAGTTTGTACCACCAACGGTTCCAAACTCTTCAAAAAACGGTTCATCTTCCTTTCACTTTTTTTTAATTATTTGATGTGAAATAATAAGGAATTTATCATTTTGTCCTCCTTAAATTTGGTCAGAATACATTTTCTTAGTGCTAATTTTCCAAAGGTTTGAGATGACTGGTGGTACAAACTAAAGGTTAACGTAAATTCTGTAAAAAACTCTCTAAGGTTTGGGACTGCTGCTACAATTTTCCCTAAAATTAATTTAAACTTGTAATAGAGGCCTTAAAGCATATATGGTGACGCAAACTTGGAAGTTGGGAAGTATATAATCCCCCTAAACTGGACATAGTAAATCAATTGTCAACTCAAGATTCTGAATGTCTAATGCAACAGATAATTTGCAAATGTGCTGCTGGAGGAGAAGCACATTCAGTAGCCATTGGACTCCTTGAGACACTGTCAAACTATGGGTGGGATGCCAAGGTGGTCATTACGTTTGCTGCTTTTTCTGTCAGTTATGGTGAATTTTGGTTGGTCGAGAACCTTCGCGTGAAGAATCAGCTTGCCAAGGATATTGCAGCTCTGAAGGATATACCAGAAACAGTGGAGCACAAAGAAGAAATGAAAAAGAAGTTTAAAGCTGTTGTCGATCTTTTACATGCTGTACTGACCGTGACTCGCATCATTATAAAGTTCAAGGAGCTCCCCTCTATGTACATTAACCGGGATTCACCAGAAATGGTAACTGCGACTGCTCACATTCCAACAACTGTTTATTGGATCATAAGGAGCATTTTGGTATGTGCGTCGGTACTTCTGAACCTTATTGGCAGTGGTCACGAGTATGTTTCTAATTGTGCCTAATTGACTGAGTAAATTAAAACAAGAAAGGTAAATTCTAAATGTAATGACAATTGAATAATTTTGTGGGTGATCAGGTTCATGACCTCAACTACAGAGTCCTGGGAGATATTAAGTCTAGCTAATAAGCTCTCCCACATGTCTGAGCACCTGCAGCATCAACTGGAGAATTTGAATAAGTATATTGGTAAGTCACCAACTTAGATTCGTTTGAAATCATTGTTATGCCTACACCAAAAAGTAGTCCTACAAAAACTTTGTACACTAGAAATGGGAACATGGCAGAGAATCACCGCAGAACTTGTACTTCATTTCTTGAATTATGGTTACTCATACTATCACTTAAATGATTGTACTGTTATACAGATGCACGGAAGACAAACGATGAATACGATGCTATACATAAAATCTTTGGGACATCTCATATTGACAACATGAAGATACTGAAGACACTTATTAGTGCCAGAGAAAATCAAATGCCACTCTTTGATGGGACTAGAAGGATAAATGTTGTCTCCTTGTCCCTAGTACATGAATTTCTTGATCCTTTCCAATTATGCCTAAATGTAACCGTATCTTTTATATTTTCCTGATGACAGGAACGCCTCGAGGTATTGAGAATGAAGTATGTCCTGCTACTACTTTCGGACCTTGACCTTCCGCAAGAAGAGCTCAACATTCTCCATCTAATTTACAACCAACAGTCGATGAAGCACGAGTACGAGGTTCTTTGGTTCCCCATTGTTGACAATGCAACGTCAATGAGCCCAACACAGGAGAGACAATTTCTTGATCTTCGCAGCTCTATGCCTTGGTATTCAGTGGATCATCCTTCCTTGGTTAATCCAGTAGCCATTAGGTACGCCCGGGAGATTTGGAATTTCAGCCACATGCCTATTCCCGTTGTCTTGGATCCGCAAGGAAGAGTGTCAAACCTCAATGCTTTACCCATGATGTGGATTTGGGGAAGTATTGCATTTCCTTTCACTAAAGAAAGGGAATTGGCACTATGGAGAGAGAGTACCTGGAATATTGAATTACTAGCAGACTCCATTGATCCACGTATCCAGGAATGGGTACATACACCATCTTTCACCCTAATTTATTAACTCTCTTGCTGCAAGCATCAATCACTGATCATAATGCAGTCGTTATAACCATGAAAAGATGTGTGTGAATATCAGGATTGGTAATTAGTTTTCATACACCTATGCAATATAAAAAATGTCATGCCTTTTATTGCTTCTGATACAGGTTAGAAGTTCATAATAGATAGTGACACAATGCTCATATAGTCTATTTTTTGTGTCACAGATAAAGGACAACAAAACTATATGCTTGTATGGTGGAGAGGACATTGACTGGATTCGGAGATTCACAACTAAAGTGCGAAGCATTGCTAACACATTGCATGTTCCCTTAGAAATGATTTATGTGGGAAAAAGCAATCCAAAGGACAAAGTAAGAAGATGCCATGAAATCATTAACAGGGAACAACTTAGCCACATTTTTCCGTTGAAGGACTATTATGATTACGTTTGGTTCTTCTGGGTGAGGCTGACAAGCATGTGGATCTCAAAACTTCAACACGGCATGACCGTTGAGTCTGATAAAATAATGCAGGAACTCTTGACAATGCTAACCTACGACAGTAGTGAACAAGGATGGGCTGTTTTCAGCAGGGGGCTGTATGACATGACTAAAGGCAAAGGTGACATTTTGCTCACAGTTCTCGACAACTCTAAACAATGGGAAGACAAAGTGGATTACCCCGATAAATTTGTGCCTGTAATGAACGAGGCGATCAGTGGCGTCCACCCCGAACACCACTGCAACCGTCTCATTCTACCGGGGCAAACTGGACACATCCCGGAGAGGGTGGTTTGTTCCGAATGTGGACGTACTATGGACAAGTATGTCATGTACCGCTGCTGCACCGACTAATCTGCACTACTACAAAGGCTTTTGCTGCCATTATATATTTCAAAATAAAATTTTATCTGCTGTATTTTCATGGTTTTTCCTTTTCAACCTAGATGATATGTTGCTTGTAAGTTAAAGTGAATAAAAGTGTGAAACTCCTTATGAAAGAACTTGAAATCAAACTTGGGAATTCGAGCAAATATCTGAATTTGGTAATTAATAGGGATAGATTCAAATCTGTCTTGAATTTGAAACAAACTTCTTATGTGAACGAAGTAGTTGAAAGATTTAGAATGAAGTTGTCCAAACCTCTAAGTCAACCCCTAGGTTTATATTTCAAATTAAGTTCATCATGGATCCCTAAGAACGATTTAGGAAGGATTGAAATGGATTCAATTCCTCAATCTAATGCTATTGGTTCTATAATGTGTGTTATAAGCCAGATTTGTCCTGTTCCATAAAGCTGTTATTAAGGTTCGTAAATGGAACACTAAACAGTGGTTGCATTATTCCAAGTGGACAGTAACTTGAGTATAGTAGGGTACATGGGCGGACTTGCCCCCAACTTTTGAGATTTTTTTTTAAAAATATAATCGCGTTTGGTATCGGTTGAAATCTAAATTTTAATATAAATCAAAGTTAACAATTAATTTTAATAACATATTTCATAGAATCCATAACTGTTTAACTTTTATTAAAATTTAATAAAAATTTGATTTTAATCTCCATCAAATAGGGGCAAAGTCACAATAAATTTGAATTTCGATAACATGCTAATTTTAAAAATTCTCCGACGATCGCACGTTAATCGAATCTACAAATTGCTTATGTCAACTCAAAGTTTATTTCGAGAACTATATTATGGGCATATCGAATAGTCCAAACAGATATCGAAAATAATTAAAAATACGTTAGACGTGAGTCTTAAAAAAAGACGTATAATTCGCAATTTTATAAAAAAAAAATTATTTCATTAACATTTATTATTTTTGCGATACAAATTTCTCAATGTAATTTTCACAATTTTATTAGGAAATTTTATATGGAATATGACATAAAAAATTTTCGAAATTTTATATTCGAAAAATTCATATCCTATGTAAATTTTCGGATGTGAAATTACATGGGGTATGATTTTTTTGGACGTAAATTTTCGATTATAAAATTTCTCCCAACTTCTTTGCAAGTTCGATTGTGCCCCCTAACTTTTAAGTTCTGCATCCGCCCTGGTAGGGTACATCGATTGTGATTTCGCATGAGATCGGATAATAAAAAGTCAAACTCAGCACACTTCTCCACCCAGGGAAAGATTTGTATAGGCTGGAAGACTAAATTAGAGCCTTTAGTTGCCTTATCTAGCTCAGAAGCTGAGTATATAGCCATAACAGAGGTCGTAAAGAGGGAATGCGGCTGTAAAGTCCGTGAAATGAGTTAAATTTGTTTAACTTAAAAGGTAATCATATTCCGTGACAATAAAGTACATTGCATNATTAAAATCTAAATTTTAATCTAAATCAAAGTTAACAATTAATTTTAATAACATATTTCATGGAATCCATAATTGTTTAACTTTTATCAAAATTTACTAAAAATTTGATTTTAATCTCCACCAAATATGGGCAAAATCACAATAAATTTGAATTTCGATAACATGCTAATTTTAAAAATTCTCCGACGATCGAACGCTAATCAAATCTACAAATTGTTTATGTCATCTCAAAACTTATTTCGAGAACTACATTATGGGCATATCGAATAGTCCAAACAGATATCGAAAATAGTTAAAAATATGTTAGACGTGAGTCTTAAAAAAAGACGTCTAATTCGCACCTTTTATAAAAAAATCAATTATTTTATTAACATTTATTATTTTGTGATACAAATTTCTCAATGTAATTTTCACAATTTTATTAAAAAAATTTTTATGGAATATGACATTGAAAATTTTCGAAATTTTACATCCAAAAAATTCATATCCTGTGTAAATTTTCGGATGTGAAATTATATGGGGTATGATTTTTTTGGACGTAAATTTTCGATTATAAAATTTCTCCCAAATTCTTTGCAAGTTCGATTGTGCCCCCTAACTTTTAAGTTCTGCATTTGCCCCTGGTAGGGTACATTGACTTTGATTTCGCATGAGATCGGAAAATAAAAAGTCAAACTCAGCACACTTTTCCAACCAGTGAGAGAATTGTGTAGGCTGGAAGGCTTAATTAGAGCCTTTAGTTGCCTTATCCAACTCAGAAGTTGAGTATATAGCCATAACAAAGGTCGTAAAGAGGGAATGCGGCTGCAAAGTCCGTGAAATGAGTTAAATTTGTTTTACTCAAAAGGTCATCATATTCTGTGACAACAAAGTACATTGCATTCATCTATGAACCTTGTATTCCATGATAGAAGTAAGGACATTGTTGTAAAATTTCATTTTGTTCTTAAAAATGTGCTTGCATGTGATATTAAATTGGTCAAGGCCTAAAAAAATGAAATCCATTTTATATAGGGACCAAAAGACAGAGCAAGTAACGGTAAAATATTTCTTAGATATTCTACACATTGATAATGATTAACATCCTTGCACGAAAGTACTTGAACAATAAAGCAGATTGTTGAAGGAGGGTCTCCAATCTCGAAGGATCCGGGCTCAGTATCGTTGAATCAACACCACGATCAACAACCCAAGAGCCGTCGTTTTCTCTCAAATACAAAGGGGCTAATGAAAACCAATTTCACACACACAAACGTAACAGTAACGGGCAGCAAATATAAGGTAGAAAAGTGTGGGCTTTAGGTTAATAGATAATAGGGCCCAATAAGTAGTATAAATGGGTTATCAACCAAAAAGCCATCCAAGAGTTTTGGGTTGGATCACGAGCAGCACTAATTAAATTAGGCTACTTCAAATGGCCCAAATAGGTTATAGGATTGGTTAAGACAATTGTGGTGTCGATATACAACTTCAGTCATTTGGTCGATGTCGACTGAATAAACAATAACTTACATCATCACTTGGGACGTAGTTTGACAACAATTTGCCTAACAAACCTCCACTTTGGTGTCAAAGGATCTACAAAGAAAATTATTACACATTAGTAATCATCCAGAAACTTAGAACCAATAAAATTGGAAATTATTCACCTCAACCGATGTTTAGAAGATCTTTGCAACTTCTAAACTTTACCAACAATAGCACCTTAATGCCCATGTCTGAAGGATTATATTGTGTGTGCATTTGTCAAGTCTTACAACTTTTTGTGATACAATATCTCTAATGAAAAATAATCTAACATCAATGTGTTTGGTGCGTTCGTGAAAAACATAATTATTACATAGATATATAGAGGACCGACTATCAGAATATACTACTACATAATCATTTAAAATACAAAGTTCATGTAGAAGGCCTCTAAGCCATAAAACTAATTTAATAGCTTCAGTAGTAGCGATGTATTCAGATTTTGTCGTGGATAATGCAACTATGTGCTGTAACTGTGATTTCCAACTAACACAAGAGTTAGACAAAGTAAACACAAAAGAAGAAGTGGATTTCCTATTATCCCTATCCCCAGCATAGTGAGCATCAACAAAACCCTTCAATTAACACCATCATTATTGACACCAAACCTTAGACCAATATTACAAGTTTACTTTAAGTACCTTAACATCCATTTCAAGGCTTTCCAGTGCTTAGAACCAGGATTAGACACGTATATACTAAGAGTGCTAACATCAAAAGCTAAATATGGTCTAGTGCAAACCATCAAATACATAACAGAACCAATCACATTGGAGTGTGGAATTCTACTCATGTATTCTATTTCTTTTTTATTACATGGAGCTTGATCTTTAGATAATACAAAATGATTAGTTAAAGGTAATGTAACAGGTTTGCAATCATGCATGCCAAATTTCTTTAACACTTTTAAAACATATGAGGACTGATGTAAAAAAAAAAGACAGAATTTGACCTATCTATTTCAATTTCCATACCTAGGATTCTTTTAGCCTTTCCTAGGCCTTTCATATCAAATTCGCCATTCAAACTTGTTTTTATGTCACATATCCATTTAGAGGTGAACAAATTAAGAGCATATCATCCACATATAGCAATAAGAACACATAGTTATTATTAACATCATTATGTTGGAAGTAAAGACAATGATCAAACTTATTACGGTGAAACCCTATGGATAGTACAAAAGAATCAAATCTTTTATACCACTGTTGTTTTAGACCACATAAAGATCTTTTCGAGAAATACACATGATCAGGTTTTAATTTGTGTTAAAAACTCTTGGTTGATTCAAAAAGATTTGCTCATCAAATTCACCATCTAAAAAAGTAATTTTTACATCAAGTTGTCCAAGTTCCCAGTAAAAAATGTGCAACCAGTGTAGGTATGACCCTAATAGTAATGTACTTAACAACATGTGAAAAATCTCGTTGTAATCAACCCCCTCATTCTGAGTGTACCTCTTAGCCACTAACCTAGCCTTAAACCTTAAGGGTTCAGATGTGCTAGTACCCTCCTTAATCTTAAATACCCACTTACTGTCAACAGTAGATTTATTCTTAGGTTTAGGTACTAGCTCCCAATTTTGATTATTTTCTAAAGAACTCATCTCATCTTTCATAGCCTTAAACTACTCTTCAAATTGTTCACTTATCATTGCCTCCTAAAGGTCTTTGGGTCCCTATCAGCTAACTCCTCATAACTCGCATGAGCAAAAGCTAGCTCAGATTCATGAGCAAATCTTATTGGTGTTCTAGACTGTCTCCTGTCTTTATCCCTAGTTAAGTTATAATTTGCTAAATGATTCTCTTCTTCAAGGTGTTCTTCTATTACTACTTCCTCTCTATTCTCCATATCAGGTTGTTGTTCCTGAGCCTCCACCCCACTCTGTGTAACATGGATGGATGTGCTCAGTTTTCCTAACTCCACCTTCAACTAATTACTCTCTTCACCTTGTTTTTCCTCCCCCACAGGTTCAGATTTTGTTTTAAGACATGGCATTTCACTG